CATTACCATTTACCATTCATCATTTATGAGTAAGACTTATGTCTTTGTACTTACAACAAGTAACAAATACATGCTCTTCATCCTCAATGTATCCAAAGTCACATAATCTACAAATATGTTTACTCCTATCAATAGGAAGCGAAGATACTTCCTCAATTCCAAGCCTATGAGATCCAGTTCTATGCCTAACAATAATATGACATACCTACAACAAGTAAAAGAACGTACAGATTCCTGCAAGTATGTAATCCTATTCACAATAAATAAGCATAGGATTCACATGAAGTTGATAGAACTAAATTTTGGTGTCGCGCTTGCTCCAAATAATGTTCAAAAAGCCCTCCTTTACACATTAGTGTATTGCCATAGGTTGCAAGTTCCAATCGCTTTCCGCAACATTTCAACTCAAAGACCAAGTTATCACATCCGCAAACATTCTTTTGCACGTGTGTCGAGCAAAGCTTAAAGAGGAAAGCGAGAAGCATCAACATATCTCACCCTTCTTATATAAGTGATGGTCAAGTAGAGAGCTTTAGCCTTAAGAGGTAGACAGCATGTTTTTGCAAGAAGAATAGCATAACGAGTTTGTTTCCCTATACCTAATTCTTCTTGTAAGAAGATTTTTTGCATCCTCTCCACACGCTCCCATCCTGTCTTCTTACCGCCAAAATCCAACATTTGTGTCCCATATAAAACCACCAGCAACATTGAGCTCCTAAATAAAAATTTCCTAAGACTCCAAGACACTATATGGGTCCTTTTACATTGGTTTAACAATGAATGTAGAGCTTTGTAACCAACTTCTACTCTCTTTTGCACACAAAGTGTCCAACTATAATTGTGAGAAAAATCGATGGCTAAATAACTCTTCACTTGTTTCAATTCTACCTTTATTGAAGAAAGATAACTTGGATCTAGTACCCATAAGAATGATTTTGGACTTTTCTAAATTGACATTCAACTGATTTTGAGTACAAAAGGTAGCCAAAGTATCAAGGTGTTTTTGTAAACTAATTGCATCACGTGCTATAATTATGATATCATATGCATACAAAAGAGCTTTGATGACAAAGTCTTCAAATTTGACTACTTCACTCTCACAATCATCTAGCCATCTCTTTATATCATCTATGAAAATTTCAAATAGAGTATGAAAGAGAGGACAATCTTGAATAACTCCAATGGTGCTAGAGATCTCTTGAGTCAAAGAGTCATCAATCTCAACCCAAACTCAATTGTATAAAGTGGCCACGGCTTCAAAAAGATTAGTCGGTACTCCAATGTCTTGTAGTCTTTCCCATAAAAGCTTACAAGAAACAATATCAAAAACTTTTTTCAAATCGATGAAGGCACAAAATAAAGTTTTACCATTGCTCTTGCATTTCTCCCATAAAACACGTAAGGCCAAAATATGATCATTAGTGTTATATGTAGGGCAAAAACCAGCTTGGAACTTTGCTCTCTTTTGAAAAGCCTTTGTCCATGTGCTCAACTTTGATTCTACTAAATTTTCAAAGAACTTGGCAAAAACAATATCAACCATGATAGTGCAATAGTTTGTCATCACTTCCTTCCTTATTTATGAATAGGAACAATCTTCCGCATGGATCAAGTTGATGGAAAACCATGAACTATAGCATTTTTCAAAAACTTAGTAAGAATATGTCCAATAAAATATCTTCTCCACTTGATAAATGGTAAATGGTTCAATGTAAAATGTAATAAGTTCAATGTACAAACCATCTCAATACTCATATTTGCCATTTGCTAACTTTTGAAGTATAATCATCACCTAGAGCAAACGAGGCATCAAAATGCAATTTTATCAACTTTTTTTGAATCCTATGTTTATTTATTGTGAACAAGTAAACCTTGTTGCATAGATCTCTACATCTTTATGTCATACTATTGCTAGGCATAGAACAGGATCTCATAGGCTTGGAATTGAGGAAGAACGTTGGTTGAATATTGATAGGAGTGAACGGATTTGTAATCTATGTGATGGGAGAATTGTTGAGGATGAAGAGCATGTGTTTCCTACTTAACTAAATATATATAGATTAGAGTGGCTCATAAAGTTGTTGAGAACTTCTATTCTTTGCTTTCACTTGAGCCTTATGCTTTAGGTTGTTATATTAGAGATGTTATTAGATACTATTGTACTGATCTTGCCACTAGCTTGGGGATTCTTTTGGTTCTCTCCTAAGTTGGAGTTGGATTGTTTGTATTGTATTTTTCAATCTTTTGACCTTTTGGGTTCCCCGGGTTTGATCTTTTAACATTTACCATAAGAACATTCCTTATGAGTTCATGGAACAGTTGACTTTGATCGCAAGTGCATGTGGAGTAGATGAACATGGACGTTGGTGCAAAATAAAAAATTGCCTAATAACTCTAAGATACTCTCACCAATCCAAGATGTAGCCAATGGTAAATGGTAAATGGTAAATGGATCAAGCCCGTGGGACCCAAAGGGTCAAAAGGCTAAAAAACACAATACAAACAATCCAACTCCAAACTAGGAGAGAACCAAAAGAACCCCCTAGCTAGTGCCCAAAGCACTAGAACGGTAACTAATAATATCCCTAATGTAACAACCTAAATCATAAGGCTCGAGTTGAAGCAGAGAAAAAAAATTCTCGACATCAACTTTATGAGCCACTCGAATCTCTACATACCTAGAACAAGTAAGAAATACATGCTCTTCATCCTCAACTTTTCTTCCATCACATAGTCTACAAATACGTTCACTCCTATCAATGTTCAACCAACGCCCTTCTTCAATCCCAAGACTATGAGATCCTGTTCTATGTCTAGCAATAATATGACGTAAAGAAGTAGATATCTCTGCAAGTAAGTATCCTTGCTCACAATAAACAAGCATAGGATTCACATGAAGTTGATAAAACTGCATCTTGGTGCCTCGTGTGCTCCACATAATGCTGAGAAATTCCTCCTTAATACGCTCGCGTAGGGCAATAGGTTGCAAATTCCAATCGAGTTCCGTCACATTCCACCTCAAAGACCAAGTCACCACATCTGCAAACCAACCCTTGGGACGTGTGGCACGCAAAGCTTCAAGAGGAAGTCGAGAAGCACCAAGAGATCTTACTCTTTTGACGTAAGTGATAGTCAAAAAGAGAGCTTCAGCCTCAAGAGGTAGACAACTTGTTTCCGCAAGAAGAATTGCATAAGAAGTTTGGGTCCTCACACCCAATTCTTCTTGTAAGAAGATCTTTTGCACCCTCTCCAAACGCTGCCAACATGTCTTCTTACAACCAGGACCCCACACTTGTGTTCCATATAAGATAACGGAAAACACTAAGCTCCTGAATAAGAATTTCCTAAGACTCCAAGACACTAGATGACCTCCTCTACATCTATTTAGCAATGAATATAGAGCTTTGAAACCAGCTTCTACCCTCTTTTGCACACAAAGTGCCCAACTATAATCAGATGAGAAATCAATGCCCAAATATTTGTAACTTTTCACTTGTTCCAACTCTAATCCTTTGTAACAGAAAGAGAGCTTGGATCTAGTGCCCACAAGAATGACTTTGGACTTCTCCAAATTGACTTCCATCTGATTTTGAGTACAAAAGCTAGCCAAAGTGTCCAGGTGTTTCTGTAAACTAGTATCATCACGTGCTAGTAATATGACATCATCTGCATACAAAAGAGCTTTGATGACAAAGACTCCAAGTTTAACACCTTCGCTATCACAATCCTCCAACCACCTTTCCATATCATCTATGAAAACTCCAAAGAGAGTGGGAGAGAGAGGACAACCTTGAATGACTCCAATGGTGCTGATAATCTCTTCGGTTTGAAAAGTGTTGATCTTGGCCCGAACTGAGTGTTATAATGCAGCCACCGCTGCCAAGAGATCTGATGGTACTCCAATGGTTTGCAATCTTTGCCATAAAAGCTCACGAAGTACTGTGTCAAAAGCTTTCTTGAAATCAATGAAGGCACAAAACAAAGCTTTTCCATTACCCTTGGATTTCTCCCATAGAACACGTAAAACCAAGATATGGTCTATAGTGTTGAATGTAGGAAATTGACATCCAATATTTTGACATTCCAGATATACAAAAGTAAAAATTGAGACATTATAAAAGTAGTAATACCACCACTAATGACTTCTATTGTTCCGAATTGATCTCATCAAAGTAAATCTTCGTATCTCTCCAATAATAAATTCCTCAATGTCTTCCGATTACATTGAGGAATTTTTCATTACAACTTTATCACATGGGAAGATTTTGAGTAAAGTTCAAAATCTCATAAGATAACTGATGTACAATGTATTCAACGTATAAAATCTTCACATGAGTTTTTAAAAGTGTGCTGTTTATTTGCTGTAGAAAATTTTTCTGGCTTATCTCTTTCTTTAGTGAATATACATCTGGTCCGATCCTAAACTGACCTCTCATATCCCATCCGCGTCTAGAGCCAACACAATTTTTTCCAAACCAAATGCTACTAACACATTTTATGTATTGCATCTCTGTCTTTATCATTGGGCGGACATCCAAGTTTCCAAGAGGTTGGAGGAACACAGTTGTAAGTTGAGACAATAATCGACGCTTCCAATGTATAATCACATATTGAGCATATTAATCTTTCATATTACAGTCAGTAGCGAATGTTAACCTGGTCACAGTATCGTTTTCTTTAGTTTGTTGGGCTTCACTGATATATCCAAGTGATGGATACGTAGGAAGTAAAGTGATAGTTAATATGTTGTTAGTCGCCACGAATCATTTTTCACTTAGGCTACTATTACTGTTACAAAATGTTCTCAGCAGTCATGAAAAGATATGTTTCTAAGGCACTTCGTACCTTTTCTTCTTTTTCTTATTTCGCTTGTTCTAGTTATGACTTTGACTTTAACTCGTGGGTCGAAGGCGGAATATCGTCTAATTGACTAGGAAACACATGCCTTTGGGAGCTTGTTTCTGTACAAACATTTGTGCAAGACAAATTGACACACTTCCCCACTACTCCTTAGGGCGTTGCAGACATGATGCGTGTACATGTCATCACACCAACCATGTGAGAATAATTAATTAATTAATTACCGGTTCACCTAATTAATTAATTAATTAACTAAGGGTTCCCTATCTCTGTTCAAGCCGCTAATCACGAGCTAATCAGAAGCTAATTAGGGGATTGAACAAAGGCCCTTATGCTAGTAAAGCAAGAGCTTTAAGTTTCTGAATAAATCAAATGTCCTAAAGCGTCGAGTCCTGTCCTTAGTCTAGTAGCACTAGTACAGCTGTGCTAATATTGATTTCCACTTCACTCATTAGACAATCCTCGTGGAAGTCTAACTTGTATGAATCTCAAACAGCAGTATACTTCAGGACAATCTTATGCTGTAAAGCGACTGGTAAATCCTCCATGCAATTCGATTCCGAGATGTACGTACACTACACTACATCTAGTTAAGGCCATCATCTCATCATGCAGACCAAGCCATGAGGATGGCTCGCATTAACAAGTTCATGTAGGCGTACAGTCGCGGCAGGCCTCTCGAGATCCTTCAGATTTCAAACAGTGGGAGGAGGTTTTCTCCAAAGCCTCGACGTCAATCGCGACTTCTTGACTTCGAAGCCTCTATTATTCGGTGTTTCTCACATCAACTGTCAGGACGAGTTGTTGTCTGCTTGATTCGGTGATTTGTTCTCTTGACTGCTACTGCTGGAATTGCCACCGTTGTTGCTAGTGGTGTTACTCAAATTGGAATTTGCCTCTTTCTCAGCCTGCGCGACCAGAACTTTCAGAGCGCCCTCCATATCTTCAAAGTTGGGAAGAGCAGTACATGGGGCAGCGCCCTTCTCGTTGGAAGGCCAATAGTCGTCAGTAGTCAGCACCTACATGAACAAAAAATCTCTTAAAACTCGTCCACTTCAAGTGCGAACAATGTTAAGGATTGGGATAAGTAGGTCTTAACCAACGTCCGCCTTCCCTTGGTATTGATAAACAGCTCAATCTATCAATGCCGTATCGGCAACGACCTCGCAGATGAAAAAGAAGGTTCACGATGGAAGATGCTGAATGAGCACATCCTTGACACTGAACAGGATTATGCCGAGTGGTAACTCGGCACTGCCCATGTAGTACAGTAAAGGTAATTCAGATCTAGGACTGCAGAAGCCACGTTCATATTTCGTGGAAGCTGCTTGTGAAAATCAGATGATGTTTTCCTCCAACACGAGATTTCTCCATTGAGATGATGATTTCCAGACATCCTTTTTTCAGTACCTACTAGCTTCAATTTTCCAGACTTCTCTTGCAAAACGAACAATTGTGGCCATAAAACAAAGAAAGTGCTCTGAACTGAAGCGAAGAAAACGTACTTAACGTTGGCAAGGACAAAAGAAAAGAAAAGAAAAAGCCATCCTCGTAAAAATCTCAAGAACTAAGGATGCGTGTGTCACAAGAAATGCAGCTACTTCGGTTCGGCGCTTGCTGATTTAAGTCTGTATAAGAGTACCTACTTTCACTTGAAGTTGCAGAAACTTGACGTAGTTGATGGCCTTTTCAAGCATGGTGACCAAGTCTACCTGCGAGTAGAAGAAGATAATGTCAACAGCTACAAGAAATTAAAGTGCAACATCCATTGCACATCTCAATTGCAAGAATCGGGGAAAAGTATTTCAAAATTGAGATTATAGGCTACTCCGCGCGACAACTTGCTCAGTTCCACTGATATTCGCTCTTAACCCAGCAGCAGAAACAATCTTCGTCCTTTCCTGATCGATTACCTTGGAACCATTAGGAACAAGATCTTGTAGAGTCTTCAGTCGCTCGCTGATGCGTTCCCTCCGATGCTGCAAACAAATGTCGCGAAAATAGGTCGTTAGATGCATGATACGCTTTCGGCCCATACACATACGGAGAAGCACGACAACGGACTTAACATATTGGACATCCACTTCTCATTGAAACGTCTACTGTGAGCTCAGAACTCGATGTCGGCTTTAGCACAGATAATGGAAACTTACGCGAGCTGCTATGCTCTGAGGATCGTTCGCACTGCCCTGCCGGGCTCGCGGCTTCAGATTGGTGTTCAAAGCCGGCCCGACGGCATGTCGTGAATTCGACTTGGTGTAAGGTAGAGGCCCAGGGTTAATGGCGTCTACAGTCTTAGAACAGGTGGATGTGAGAGAAGAGGCCCATGAGGATGAGCGCTTTAGAGTGGTAGGCGCAACCGTTGTCTGCACGTTTGGAGACGTGTCCTGCATGGGTTTGATCGTTTCGAGAATGTCAGTAGACGAAGAAAAATTCCTAAACAAATTTCGGATTTTGGTCAGGTTAATCACATTCCTACTCTCACACAGGCCATTCTTGAAGTGGTGTCGTAACTTGCTGGTGGACGATTGTTCAGCAGAAACCGGACACGCATGGAAAACAACATGATGGCCAAACTGGAAAACTGGAATGGAAGATTGTCAACTGATTCATACTCCAGCCAGAGCTCAAAGAGCAATTGAAAGAGTATGAGGCGCGAATCGATGTCCACCACAAATGTGCAAAATCAAATTAGTCTCTGCGAACTCACCAAATGCAGGCGCTTGTGATTCGTATCGTTGGGTTGCCCCAGACTCATCTGGAGAAATCGCTTCCTAGAATCGGTCTCGGGTACCGGATCCAAGGCATGGTTTTGTCCGACGCTCGATGGTGGCCAAGTGTCGTACAAAGCATCTTCCTTATCTCCGTTACTATTGTAGGACGAAAACCTTCCCAAATTACCTATGGTTGGGTTAGCAGTGACATCTTTCACCCCATTCCCACTGGCATTGTTCGGCCACTTCCTCAAGCTTTCAAGGGTGTCCACTTTTTTCTGCGTAGAATACAAATAGCCATGTGAACCTAAGACGGACTCCGATGGATTATGACTACCGGAGATATTTGTCTCCAAGTTACGCAACACTGAGTTACCGGACAATGACTCGAGCAACAATTTTGGGCTGTGCATGTTCTCACCAAACCTCTGATTCGAAGTAGATGTATTCATAATAGTGTTAGTAGTATCTAAAGTGGAACTAGAAGATTGGTTGAAGTACACACGGGAATTACTGCTCAAGTAGCTGCTTTTGTCGTGATTCATCGTAGATACACCATTATAATTCTTCTGCTGCATGAGTCCCTGCTGTAAGAACAATCCGCTAGAAACATTATTCTCGCTCGAATCGGTTATACCCTGACTTTGCCCCATCTGAAGACTAGCGAAACCAAGCGTTGAAATCCCAGATCCGCTAGAAAAATCACTTCCAGAGCTTGTTTCTAAACCGGACATCTGACAGTGTAGCTTCCTTGCCACAGAGTCGTAGACCGATGTCCCCTCGAAGTTTCCCATATTGCAGCTCCTTTCTCCACCCAAGTAGTCCATGTTGAATTTCGTCGCATCGAGACTCATACCCCCTCCAGAAGAAGACGAGAGAGCTGGAAACGACGTGTTGTACGCCTGCATATTGATAGTGGGTATGAGACCCAAAGAAGTGTGATCATCCGACGTCTGCCATGATCGTCGCTGGAACATCTGCGTAGGCGGTTGTATAGATGCCGATGACTGAGTTGTATTGGGTAGCTGACTCGCCCACTGGGGCAAAAGAGGATCAGTTTTCGGCGTCTCCAGCAACCTGGAAGTGTCATTCCCGAGAGTGTCACTGGTCAAAAGAGAACTATCATCCATGGAGCCGGAAGACCGCGACAGACTTTCTTGTGCCCAGCTATACTCGGAGTCACCTGTTCCCCATATTGATGACTTGGGTAATAGAAAGTTTGCCGTTGGATTGGAGGAGGGAACATCGTTAGAAAGAAGGTTACCCGATTCTAGGTTCTGCAACTCGGAAGGGAGCAGATCACTCTCAGGCCCAGACTCAGGCGACGAACTGGCAAGACTGGCTGCAGCAACTTGTGCGCTCAGAAGATTTCCAGCTGACCCTGTATCGAACTCGGTAGACTCTTGATCACATTGCCATGTTTGTAACGAGGATTGGTTTTCGTGATTCGGACTTTTCGCCACTTGAAGAACTCCCTCCATGTTGTTCCTCCTGCTCAGTGTCAGCGTTCTCGAGCTCATCATACTGCACCTACACTTGAGCTTGAGTACAAGCCGGATCCACGAATGCGACAGAATGTGGGTAAAACAGCAAAGTTTGTCGTCTGAATCTGGCAATGCAAGCCATATAAAGCTGTAACTTTGTGGAATGCAGCCAGTAAAACCCGTGCATTGGCCGCCACAATAGCCGAACGCAGCTCCGTCGAAGATCGCAGTGAGCTCGTATTACGCAGAGAGTTGAATCTACACACAGAAATTGAAAGAAGAGGTAAGCTGGAAGTCAAAGAACGCACAATGTGGATCAAATGGTGCCAATATAGTCTTCTGGTGGTCCACCAGAGTCGTGAGAAATCACGAAACCAAGTTATTGGATACATCTACCTCGACAGACACAAAAAGTGTATAGCGCTGTAAGATATTCACCCGCAGAAAAAAAAATAGATGGACATAATCTTTCCAAGATCACGATTAGATCCACGATAACAGTCTAACGAGCCTTAAGGCAGGTAAGAAGAGCTCGTTTGAGACAGCAGATCACGTTCATCGAGAAGGTTGCTCAAAAACTGATGTATCACAACCCGAGGCCCTTCAATCGCACCAACGCGGGACTCTGGGCTAACTGGATGGACGCGTATGGGTCAGCTGGTTGATTCAATCGAAAGACAACTTCGAGCTGCCGAATGATCTATGCGCGTCAAACAACTTACACAATTGACACTGAGACACGAGATTTACAGTGAAACGTCTGTCGGACGACCGTATCTGTACTAGGCTGATTGCTCAAATTGTCTAATGTCTATCATCGGAATATGATGCATCTTCCAAATGGTCAGGTGGTCGAGGCAGCTGATATAAGAATAGGGCAGAATTCTGACTTCACGTATAAAGATGGTGTTTAGTGGTGTACACATTACTGCAGTTCACTCGCAGTCGTACTGTTGTAACAATGCAAAACTTATTAGTTGATACCAATTGCTCCCAAATACATATTGCGGGAAGAACACATGTCCGGGAAAAACACTGAGAGTTCTGGATGCAGGTGGGAATGGGCTAGTTCTTACTGTCATCTAGACGCAAAACGCTTGCCAGGACCTTCCTGAACAATTTGGACGGACAAGTACGGACTTCGGAGGTGCCCAGATATGCACATGCTAAACTTCTCAATCCAAGGCCAGTATCGTATCAAGCCGAAGGAAGAAGGAAGGCAGGTGTGTGAGTTTTCATTCCTGTCCATCGTCTATATAGTACATGAAACCATTTTTGATTGGATTCATACTGCATGCAAGACCTTGATAGGATACAGTCGGCAGCTCACATGGATTATTGGAAGCTTGACTCCGAGAATCGATGTGATTAGGTGGAAACACACCAGCGGTACCATCGCAGCGCAAACGTGACGGTCAGTTCGTTCGATAAACAAGTTGATCTCTTCTCATCTCAAGCCATATCAGTGTTCGCTCTCTGGTCTTCCTCGGTCACCGTTATCTAGGCACTTCCATGCCTTAGAACATGAACTGCCAATGGCAATCTACTTGAGCGAGGGGATGAATGTGAAGTAGAGTATGAAGTCAAGCTCAATTCTATGTTGACCCCCTCCTCATTCTACCGCTACTTCAAGTCTTGCACATAGAAAGGGAGAAGAGGCTGCGAGGACCCACCGGGGTCCTATGCCTGAGAGAAGGCAAAATGCGCAAGAGACCGAGTAAAAATTCTCGGGAGAAAGAGACTACTGGGTTCTCCGGCAGGAGAGAGAGAAAGAGAGAGAGAGAACACAGAAGGGAAAGGATCCCCGAACGAGGAAAGGCCGGGGCGGAGAGAGACTCTGACGGAAGAAAGAGAGGACGGGCGATGCATTGAGGGTTATAACCAAAATATTGAAGACGAGGGGCCGCAAAACAACGACTCCTCCACACCACCGACTTCACCTCCTCAGGCCATCTCCAGAAATTCGCATCGACTCTCCTCGCTGAACCTGACCGCCGCCAAATCCGCCAATATCTTACGTCAGCAATAGTTCAATGCTGTAGATCCTTCAGATTCTGATTTCAACCTCCGGATCGAGTTCTGGGGTTGGAAGACTGTTCAGGTTTGTCCGATGGGTTGATGCGTTTTCAATTCCCCCCCTTCCAGGTCTGTGTATGTATGCAGAATTTAACTACACTGGCCGGGCCCAAATGTACTCCTATTAATCATTGATGTAAGCCGGTTAGCGTGACGGAATCCCATTCACCAAACTTGAAACAGATCCCAGGGTCCTCCAAATCACCAAACATATTCGGCTTAATCATTGATTGGATCTAAAACACGACGCACTCGTCACCACGACCGGATTAAGGATGAAATTACCTATGTTTTGGATGCAGTCCCGTTATTGCAGGCCCCGACCAGCGCCTCTGCCTTCGTAATTAGCAGCACCTAAACATCTTCCTCTCTTAAGAGCAACAACTACCATGTCTGTTTATCTCCCTACTCTTCCCCATATTAAAATAGGTACGTGTGGATTAAAACTCTCTTTCTTCCTTGTTGCATGGCAGGACTGTCCTCCAACCTCTGTGGTAGCGCATCAGTTTTGGCTGTACGTTGCATTGGAGAGGAATGTAGGCCATTTGCCCTACATCTAGCTGTGCTAATCTACACAAAGCTAGGTGAGCTATCGGCAGAAAGTAGGTCCACATTTTCATGCCCTCAAACCTCTGTCCCTTCACGTCAACCGGTTGTTTACTTAGTTCTCCAGCTATCAACTGAACGTTGTATACCCTCAACAGCCCATAGCTACGAAGGTCAGTCAGAGGACATATATCGGGTGTAGCTGAGCACGAGAAGCACTTTGTAAATCAAAACAAGTGATGTCTTGGTATTCATGTCAAACAACTTTGTTGGGGAGGACAAATGTGAATCTATACTCATTTTTCTTGGTCCATATACGGATTATATGGCAAGCAAAAAATTGTCGTAGAACACCTACAAATTTCAATTTAGACATGAGACAGACAATGAAAAATTTCATCGCAAACTATACGCGATGAAACTCAATTGAGCACAAGTATTAGGTCTCGACCTTATCGGCATCCAGAAAAGTCTCAGATCTGCTTGACCATCCCGGGAGTAGTTAAAGATATTAGAAGGCTTGGAAACACGGTGGTAACAGGTTAGATAGATTACAAAAAACTTTTTATGAAGCTCAAAAACCCCTCATTCTTTTTCTCATTGTCTTTAGAAATTGACGAGTCATCCATTTTCATAAAAATAGAAACCTACGGACTATACAATCGCAGTAATGGTTTTCTGATTTCATACTAACTTTCCAATTTATTTTTCATTTTGAATGGCGTGAAAATAGCTGTTGGCTCGTAAAGATTGTCTAAAACATAAAAATATTTCACATTTCATTTGACAAACTAAGAAGCTGAGATCGATATTTCGAAAATCAAAGGTGTTGAAGTAGATCTCTTCTATATAGCCCAGTTTCTATAATTAAAAAATAATTGGAAAGATTGTCCTCGCCTCGGGTTCTACAATCGGTTTCAATGTCTTTCAAATACTACTCAATCACTTTCATCGTCTCAATTCTATTCAAGAGATCAAAAATCTCTACGTATTCAAAACTACATTTCATAGTAAACTAAAACGGGTTGAATGCTGTTAGCTTCAATAATAATTATGTCAGGTTAAAAGTAAAAAAATCATCTTCAGGGCACTTGAATGATTATTTTCATGGTTTATTTTTCTATTTCAAGTTGTACATCTATATGTGATACTTCTTCTCTGCTTATAACATGAGGAACTCACAACCCTTTAAACTTGGAAATTTGACTAAAAAACATTTCATTAGCTTACAGCTTTCTTCGCCTTCTTCAAACATCGAGTTGACGATGTTCCTTGTATAAAACCAATGTTTTCACTATCCAGTTGTACCATTCCGTAGTCCAAGTCGTCAATCTATCCAATGCATAAACCGATGTCGTCCTGGCTAGCAGATTATCACATCTTGCTAGTCTAAATAATGTTCTTTCGATTTACTTTGGGTCCCAATGATCAATAAAGCCATTTGTTTTCAACGCCATCAACAATGCTGCTATCAATCTTCTCTTGAATTTCATGAGATTCTCTTCCTTCCGTCTATCTATCTAAACATCGATATTTTCATCTTTGGGCTTAAACTGTTTTCCGTTTAAATAGTTTAGGTATATGAGCAATCGGATGACCAGATGTTAGTTGCCATTGTTGATCCGCATGCCTCTAGAAGTCACGTGATCGAGTTGATTGTCCTTATATTTTTTGAGTGCGCAGTTCCTACATCAATGTTTAGATATAAATGTCTTCCTAAGTTATCAAGTCACATCGAAGTAAGACATAAATTTTCTTTCTGAAGACCACATCAAATTGTAAGGTTATGCTCCAAAAGAATTTCGGTGAGAAATAAAAAAAATATCTAGATACAATATTCAATATAGATCTCCTATATTTCAAATCCAAACTAAAAAAAATGTATACCCGTTGATTAAATTATTTCACACTTAGACCCCCACTATTGCATATTTTCAACTTAAATTGAGGCAAAAACGTAGGTCATAGATCAATAAATGATCACTCTTGGAACAGTTGAACTTATTTGACCTACATAATGACCGCTGGAGTACAAATCCTGAAGTAACTGAAGTGAGTAAACACGCCAGCCAAGAAGGGAATTTTACTTAATACCCTTCTTAGTATTAACATGTCACTTGCTTGCCTGTTATGTTCGAACGTCAGCTGTTCTAGGATAATGGATTTGTGAAGTAACATGGCAGTGCTTTCTTATGCATTGCGAAACCCTCAATAGTGTTTTGCTTTGTTACACCGAGAAGGTATTTGATGAGACCTCATGGATTTCTTGTATCTAAGTGACACAAAATAGGTATTGGTACATTAGGAGGTTCTTTTGGTTCTCTCCTGGAGTTTGGTTGTTTGTACTGTGTTTTTTACCCAAGGGCTTGATCTATTTACCATTAAGCTTGAGATTACATGTATTTGGAGTACGATCAATTAAGATTGAAAACTTAAGATAACAGGGCTATTCATGTAAAAGCGTTTTCATGAAGAATGGACATACTTATTATTTATAATAGAAAATAATGGAAAATAATTTTCACTGAAAATAATGAGAGTGTACGTTTGCCGTAAGGATAAATATCACTCCGTTTGTGAACATTGGTGTTCCTATTATTGGTATATTTGTGTGAAAGAAGCTCGATAATAGAGTACACATAGGTAATTCATTGGACTGAAGGAAGAAAAATTTCCCATCAAAGTACTAGACATGGACTGCACGCTCTCCCGCTATTTCCATGCCATGCCGAGGCAGTGGTCTAGTGTAGTGCAACAATGGGGAGGATGTAGGGCGGCATAAGCGGAACTTGTCGCTTTAGAGGGAGATGTGGATTCCCGCACCTCTAATTTAGCATGTGTATCTAGAGCGTTGCACGCGTACTCTAGAGGCATCCGTGCACGCGTGCGTTTGAATGCACAATGGGATAGGTCGAGGCATTTGGGCTGGACTGTAGCTCATCATAGAAGCACGCTTTCAGGATTCGTCTTATTACAAAAGTGACTAATTCGGACGGACGGAATGACCTTCACTCCGTCGAGCCGACAGGAGAAAGCAAGCGATTCGGCATTTATGCAAGACGAACGGGCAGACGCGCATGATGAGAGGGTCATGGCTGTTCCCAGCACTGTTTCCACGAACTCCTCCCCGATTTGGCTGGACGGGGAGAGCCAAGAGAAATGGCACCGCCGTTGCCTCTGGTATAGTGGTTCACTTCCATCTTCTTTGCTTTCAATTCATTTGCTCGTTCACCCTGGTGCTCTTCCGACAGTGACCTGTTCACAGATTGCTCGAATGTTCATGTGAGGGTTTATCGACGAGCCTACTCACGCTTCTCACGTCACAGCCTAGTCAGCACCCAGCCAGGCTTATTTTACCCATCTCCCCAACCCCGTCCGTCCGTCCGCGAAAAGTGGCCTTTTCGGCATAGCATCATTTGATTCTCTCCTTAATTGACTTACGGTGTAACTCGATCGAGAGGCTGAGTGAGTTGACAGACGGCCTGTCCGTCCATCCCACCCAACCATTCCGTTGTCATGAGCCAGCGGCGGGTATACACACCGGAGGTGGGGCCGACGGAGCCGACTTGCCGAAAGCCTAGCAAGTAATTTGACTTCCACTTGTCTGGCCTGATTCAATGGCAACCAACCTGTAGAGTGCGGCCTACAGATCTCCCAGTAGATTCCAAAGTGAGAACTGTAGACGTTCGCAAGACTGACGTCAGTATTGTACAGTGGTAGTACGTTCTGGATACACGACTCGGGTTCCGTCCTCTACTGAAAAGGCAGCGCTCTGCTTCTGTTCTGTGGGTTTTAAAGTGATCAACAGATAGTATGTTAGAGAACCAATCTACCATGGTCTAGTCTAGCCTAGCCTCTCAGCGAACATAGTGCTAGAAACTGACATATGCTTCAAAAAGCATGAAAGGGACGCAATGAGATACAAAAGAAACAGACAATTTGACGTCACCTCGGACTATTCCCTCACGACTGATGAGTGTGAAATCCGTGATCAACTGTGTTCTAGGTGTGAGGGATCCCAACGAAAACAAATTCATCTGCTGGAAGGCTACTTCAGTGTGCCTCCGCGAGACCATTTCAATTCGTTCTGGAGCTCCACCCCACATATTGCAGCTCAGACTTGATGGTTCATTCGCCTCAAAGAACACAACCAGCATGATTTACTGCGGATGTCGTAATCTGCAGTTACGGTTTACCGAATCGTGATAGTATCATACTTTAGCTTACACTAGTAATAGAATCACCGAGAGTACGGTAAAGTTCTAATCATTCTACGGAGTTCAGTTCGTGGCTCGATCACGAGGAAGAGATGAATACACAATAGAATTGCATTTG